AATTGTTCCCGGGTTTCGAACTAAACGGGTTAATGGGCTGAATATGTAAATTGAATTCGTTTCCGATTTCGTAGTGAAATTTCCGTTCTTGGCGCGTATTAAAAACGACGACGGTCCGTGAATGACAGGAGGATTAGGGTTTTTTCTGCGAGCTCCGACGGGGTCCTATACCCGTTTCATCTCCACCTCTTGGATGTTCTGCGCAGAAGAGGAACACACACATGCATTACACACGTACGACGTGGGACACAAACACGGTGTATTGATAATGGTCTACGTGACGGCCGTTGCGTAGGTAGTGGTGTGAAAACGGGTTGCGGAAGAATTCGATTGTAAAACGAACGGAAAACCGTTGGTCAGTCGGTTAGTGGTATCAACGATCGGACGTTACGCACTAGATGTTCCGTAGAGCATTGTGTGTCCGCCGCATCCGGCGTGGCCGTTTTATAAAAAAAAAAATCACCTCAACTCCGCCAAACAGCATAATTTCGCTTACGAATGCAACGCGATTAATAGTAGATCGGTATTGTGGTCTTTCCGAACGGCGCGTGACCGACAGCGGACAACGGTCACGTCGTTATCCAAAATAAAAGATTCATAACTCTTGACACGACCTGATATAACGATTACGATTATTTTAGAATAATAATTCTGTGCGATTAATAAGAATTACGTAACGTAGTTACATTGGCTTAAACTAATATCGCCGTTCTTAGACGGGACTAAAAGTTTTACTAAGCTATACCTGCCTATCTAATTTGTTTTCGTTGTACAGCGTTACTTATAAGTTCTATATTAATTCACTGTTGTGTTCTAATTGTTCTGATTTATTTATTTATTGTTTATTCAACGGGCTTCAACTCTTTACAAAAAATAAGTATAATTTAAGACTCACGGCCATTATACATGTTAGAATAATAATAATAATACAAAATACGATAACATTTTAACAATGTTAATGTAATTTCTTTACTATTAGCAGAATTCATTCGTATGAAAGAGTTTCACTTCATTGCGTTTGTCACGGAAGATGTTTATGGTTCGCACGGTTTAGCGGCGTCATATTATATAAACGATGCTGTTTCCTAATTACTATTCATTTTCGTCACCGATATCATCCGATGCGGACTCTCGATGTACGGAATATTTTTAGAACACGTTGTTCCGGTCCCTTCGTTAGGGTGCATATTAGGGTTTTCGGGCGTACAAAATATTTTCACGCATGCGGTGCGCGATGTATACGTGTCTGCAAAGGAAGCACTGCGATTGTGCACGACCGGGACCCGTATTTTAAACGTTCCGAATGGCAGTAACGATGACGATGTGAGATGTATCATATTAATTGTATGGTACCCAGAAAGCATTGCGACACACACACACGCGCGCGCACGTATGAATCGAGTAGGATTTATTTTAATTTCCACCATCAACAGGTTCCGGTGGCCGCCGACCGCCGAAAACGGAAGCCCTTCGACTCGCTGCACCCGCGAAACGACATCCCTCGGTGCGCACGTACACGCGTAAATATATGTACACGTTGGTAATCCAACAAGACCGTTATTTTAAGTCTCGCGCCGCCGACCGTAATGTACATTGACCGTTTTACGACCGGGCAAATTCAATTAAGCTAACGAAACGATTTCGCGGCATTAAGTTCCCGTGCGTGATAAATGGTTTTTTAGCCGCCGACCGCCGGCGAATAAAACGTTTCCTCGATCGGTCGCGCGCGCCGCACGGTCGTCCGCCTCCATTCTTCTCCGTTCGGCCGCGCCGAGAGTGCGGTCCCCGTACACGTGTGCCCACACGCGCACTCGTATCGATAGACGCACTCGCTAACCCCCTCAGCAAAGGCACAACCGTCGGCGGGCCACATGAATACGTATTGTACCCGGAGCCTCGCGCGTTTCCGCCGACAACGTTTCTACACGTCTTTATTTTTTTTACGATTCGCAAATCCAAGCGCGCAACGAACGTCAAACGAACTTCTACGCTAACGTTCGGAATCGATCTTAGTGAAGTATCCCGCGGCTCTCTCGTCGCATTTGCATTGTTGGAATCACGGCGAATCTCGTTGTTACCGCTTGTATCAGAACATTGCGTCAACATTGCATTACGCATGTGTTACTTAACTGTTTTCCATCCGTTGTTGAAAACGTTGTGAATCGGGTCCTCGAGAAAATCCAAAAGAACGCATGCAGCGTACCCTTTCTACTTCTTAATAATTTTGATCCGTTTATGTGAAAATATTACGCGATATATATATATATATATATTAGTGGGTTTGTGTGCATATATGTGTGTGTGTGTTTGTGTGTGCGTGCTGTTTCTAGTTCTATTTTTGCAAATCATCCAAAAGAATTTTTTTTCATCCAAACATACGCTATGCTGCGGATTTCTGTTAGTTAAAACTGCAATGTAACTGTCAAATAAATAATAAATGTTACATTATTATGTAAAAGGGCAATATTTTTTTTTTTGTTATTTCTGTTTCGTGAGGCTTAATTTACAAATAACACGGAATTTTTAAAATTGAATTAACCCGGATAGTATACGCTTTAGTAGATCTGTTATTTATTATTCACCATGTACAAACACGGTTGTTGATTGAAATTACCACGCGTTTGTGTGTCAACTTAATTATACTACGCTCGAAAATAGAACAATTTAAACAGTCACAATTTAATCGTATAGAATGAAACAATTGAGATATTTGCATGCGTAATATACAAATCATGGTTACATTAGCTACAAAATGTCTAGTACTTATCGTTATCACAGAAATAGTGTTATAGTTAAAATTATAGTCTCTTGTATAATAGATATCTCTTTAAAAACTTAAAACTACTCTCTCTAAAAACATAAATATACGTATAGACAATTTAAAATTATTCTGTTTTGATCTGCTTACTACTTTAATTATGGTATAATTTATTTTTTATTTTTTTTTTTACTTGCTATTAAATATATGGATATTCATTTTTTTTTTTTTATAAATCCTAAACCCAACATTCATATCATTCATATAAATAATTATTAATGAAGCCAACGAGTGATCAATATGAAAATGACGAAATGTATATTTAGTGTATTACAAAAGTATATCCAAAATGTTGATATAAGTACTTTATATTCTAGTTAAAGCGCTTTCTATTTAGTGTTATTAGAATTACAATACTATCATATTATTATTACTTTTTTATATGGATACTGCATAGCAAAATTATTAAATAAGAAGTATCATTATACCGTATAATATTTTATAGTTTTTCTATAGTGTTTTGAACTACTTCACCTCTTATCTTTTTCTCTGAAATACCTGTGTGAAGATATTATTTACTCATTATTCTTATTTACACTGGCTTTTATATAAAAAAAAAGAAAGAAATATCTTTTTATATTCATTATTCTTTCGAGATTATAACTCAGCAAAGTTCGGTTTTTTTTTTCATACTCGAAAATTTTTGAATTTCCTTCCATTTAAAAGCAAAACTTGATTATACCCCTGCCCATAATATTTTCACGAGATATCATTTTAGATTCTGAATGAAACGAGGAATTGTATTTAATATTGTATTATTTATTTGATATATACTGTAAGATAATATTGAATTATATTCTTAATAAATACAATGTATACATTTCTTATACAAAATAAATATACTAACACATAATAACGTATTAATTTTAAGCATTTAAAAACTTTAAAATTAATACACGGTTATATAATAATTATTCTGAAAAAATATTAATTTAATACATTGAAATTTTACATCGAATAACATGTACCTAGAACTATGTAGTTACTTATTAACTTAAATTTATATAATTAAGGAGTCTATCCGTAAATTTTAACTGTATGATGGAAAGGCTTCTATGTTAAATAACAAAAAAATATGTTATGTAATTGAAAAAATATAACTAATGTTAGAAAATATTTTGAAAATGTAACCATACTTGAAACTAACATTTATAATCATAAGTTTTGGATAGCCTTGATTACTAATATTACATATGATAGTGTGTCATTAAGAATGTATAATTTTAAGCTTAATATAGGTCTGTATTCATGCATGGCCTCAAAAACAACTACCAGATCTTCCTACACCTATAAATCATGGGCTCTGCCCAGTACACAGTTATATCCGGTTTCTTTTTCTTGTCCTAATAATATATTTTTGATCTGATTTCTATGAAATAAGTGAATTTAATATTTATTCTTTGGCATGTCAGGCGTATCCTGCTTCTCCAATTATTTTGCTTTTAAGTATTACCACTATATCCGGTTAATTAAATAAATCATTGAGTTTATCATTAGATCTGCGTAGTACACATAATACTTTTTGCATTAAATACACACATTTTACTTAAGTATAATTTATTATTTTTGTGATCAATGGATTTGGTGTGCCCTTTGTAGTAAAAGTAAAAATATAGTTGTTCGTAAGTATAGTTTGGTATGTATAGAATATGGTCCTGAGTTGGTTTCTAGACTGTATAAGTATGTAATAGACTAAACCGGAACACATATTTTATGTTAAAGATTAATGGTCTACAGAATATGTTTTCAGTTCTTCATAAACTTCTTCACAAAAACTTCCATCGTTCAATATTTTGGTCATAAAAATACTTTTTTAACTGTTAATAGTACAGTATTATTAATGTGACATTATAGATTTAATACCGTGAATTTATATTTTATCAACTTATAATAGTTATAGTACTTAGTGTGTGTGTGTTTGTGTTGTATATGAAAATGAGCAGTGTGTAGAGTATTCATTATTTCAATCTCAAAATATTATAACAAATTAACTTTTAAAGAAAAAAAAACATGTAAGTCTTAATGCGAAAAAAAAGGGAATCGAATTTTATGTCTATATATTTAGAACCGAATGGTAAAATGTATAAAAACCAGCTATCCAATAACAAATAATCACACGTTGATACATTAAAACTCAACTAATTTCTAAAAAAATATAATAAATTTAAATTTTTATGTTTAGGAGCTATCCATTAGCTAATTCTCGCGTCGACATCAACCGATTGAAGGATTCCACCTACGATGTGATAATCAGTGTTCTAATTTCTAACGAAGAAATTACCACTCAATCTACATTGGACTGCGAACTGAAAATCCCTGACACCCCGTACGTGAAAAGAAAGACTTTTGTTTTCTTCCAAGGTAAGTGATTAGTATTATTATTATTATTATTACTGGTAGTAGTAGTTTATTGGACCGAAATAGACGATAAATATGATTCTGTGGCAAATAATCATCGGAAAACGCGTTGCATAAAAAACACTTGCTCAAACAGAATACCGTTCGATGGTCTTAATAAGACTTCCGTGTTTCGTAATTATTACAAAGCGGCCAACCTTTGACCATCGTGTTATATAGTTGTAGTTAGCGATCGGGTTACACGCACGCAAAGCACAAAATACGAGTAAATATCACCATCGAACTTAGTATTAAAGATTGCGGTTTGTGTGCAAACGCAATTGTGTATTGTTGAGTCAAAACGATCGACCAAAAATAGACATGACTATTCGGCACATGTGTAAACAATTTGATCGTTCACATAGACCAAGTGGTTGCATTTTAAATTTCATCGGATGTATAGATACGTTAGTCGATTACAATGCTATAACAGCGATGTAATGATAGTAAATTTGCGTGCTTGTCGAAGGCGATCCTTAGAGAAAAGTGAAACCTATTGAGAAAGTGCGAAACTTATATTGCACTTGTATATTTGAAAGTTATAAACGTGTGAAACTGAAGTAGATAAAAATATTATTATAATTAATATAACAATTGGCTTACTTATTAATCGCGTTACATGCCTTACGCTAATCATTATATTTAAATAGATCTGTATATATATACATTTATTTTTATGCGTAGATACAGAGTGCAGTTATAGAAATATACTATAATACCATATATATATGTTCTGAGACTATGAATTGGTTTAGTCGAACAACTTAAAGCTTATTCGAGCAACACAAATTATGGGATGTAAATACTATGTACACTATGTATACATTCTTTATAGTTCAAATTATTATAGAAATATTATTAAATGTAATTAAATTTCTTAATAAAATAGGTTGAACTTTTAATATTATAATTCTTACAAGAAAAAAACTTCTATGATTTTGGAATATCGAAAACTTACGTACATTTTCTATGGCTCTAAAAAAAAAAAAATAAAAATATTTTGATGACTATACCACTATTATTTTATTTCTAATTTAATGATTTTAAAATTTTTATTTTTTGTATTATAATCAGTGCTCGAATTGGGGGGACACAGGGGGACGGAGTACCCCAACTAATTTTCAGAAATTTTAGCTTCCCCCTACTATTATTACGCTATAATATAATTTATTATAATCATAACGCTCAGCCAGTTTTGGGGACGTTCTTTTTTTTAAAGTAAATAAAGTCCTTTTCTTTAATTTTGCCAAGTCGAGCATTGGTTATGATGGAAACAAAAATTCAAACGTAACAAGAAACAAATGCAGTAAGAGTTGTTATGAAAATGAACGTTGAAAGGAAAAGAGAAAGAGGAAGAACAAAAAAAGATGGTTAGATAGGATTGAAAATTATATGAGGGTCATTGGTGTGTGCATAGGAGATGTAGAAAATCGATGAGTGGAGATTTAGAATGGCCGAACCCAAATACTTGGGAAAAAGGCAAAGGAGAAGAAAATGAATGAAAACTAAAATTCTTTTTGTTAAAAGTTTATATTCTGTAAATTTGTTCGTAATATTATAACATTTTTTTTGGAAATATTTAAAAAAATTGTTGAGAAATTCGAAAAATTACTTAATTTAAAGTTTAATTGTAAAAAAGACAATTTTCTATAATTTTCTTTCAGAAACTGTCAATGATTGTGATGAATGGAAAATTATGGTAGATAATGACGGACTGGGGGAAAAAATCGGCCAAGAAATTCATAATTTAAGAGGCCCACTTTTTGATTATGCGTTATATACTTTGACTTTTGTGTCTTTTTTTTTCGTTCATCGATATTTATTAATTATTTACCAAACAATACAATAAATTACAAGGTTTAAATAATATTTCAAAGGTCCACTGGGAATTCTTCTGGTATCCCCCAGGCTCAGTCCATCACTGATGGTAGAAATCTTATATTAAGTCTTAAAATTAGTGCATGACAAAAAATATTGCAATTATTGATTCGGACCTTCATTGAAATTGTAAATTTTTTGCATAATTTTCTCCGTTTCTCTTCAATTATTCGGAAAATTGTATAGAAATTCAAAAAATGTCCTTTTAAAAATATCAACTAGAACTTATTTTTTTGTTTTAATTTTTATTTGATAATGATCAGAGCACTAATTATCGTCAAAATCATGTACATGGACTACATAAAATAATTATACACATTACATGTACTAAAACTAACTGTATTAAAACTTATACATTCCTTGTTTCATTCATAATCTGAGATTAAAAATATCTGAATATCATAAATTTTATGTATACATTTTAATATTATAATGTATATTTCTTTCGCTTTTAAATTTCAATAATGTACTTATTAAAATTTTAATCTTGTAATAATTAAATTTTTCTATTTTTATCGTTATAGTATTATTTCTACTTTTCTTTAAAGGAAATACATACTTTTTATTTATTTATTTTTTGCCTTTGTAAGAATATTACAGCAAACACATATTTTTATTAACATATTTTAAAGCAGTATTAGTTTTTTTAAAACGTTTGATGTATAAAATAATTTAATATCTACCAAATAGTAAAATATTAAGTATTTTTTTACTTTTGATGTATTGCACCGACGTTTTTGCCAGTTAGATCCTTACAACTTAACTTACAACCTTAACCCTACTCCTTTTAACTAAACTTTTTCTAAAATACCAAGAAACTTGAAACATAGAAGCATACAAAATGAATAAATCCATGTTATCTTGTTGTATGTGAATACATTTCTATTGTAATATACTGAAAAATAAATATATTTTGCAATCAAAGGGCTTATAAATAAACTGCAACATTTTATCAATATTTTTATCGATTATTTTATCCCTTTAGGGTTGTTAAAATAACTAAATTCAAAATAATGTATGTATAAAGATTAAAAAACAACTATATATTGTTAAAGTTTTACTAAAATAAAAATTAACGGCGTTATTTAGATGTGTTATCGACAAAAACAATTTTACTCGAGTACATGGATTAAACGTTTGTTATACTAAATCGCAATGAAAAGTTATATACTTAAAAACGATCCAATTAACATAACCGAACTTCAGATTTTAATATTGTACTGGGACCAAATGAAAAATATTTAAAAACGAGTCCTTAATTGTCTTAAAACAAAATATTTGTAATAGCAATAATAAAATAATAAATAGTATGTTATTACTACAATATGATACATTAAAATTAGTTATAAAATATAAAGTTATAGTTTATCATAATTTAATGCATACGCGATGAGGAACTAATCAAGCTAGAAATAAATATTTTATAATTTCAATGAAATTATATTGTGTAGTTATAGTAAACTGTATGTAAATTATATCCAATACACTGATTAATAATTTGTCAATGCATAAGTTAATCGATAAGCAGTAAATATGGAATACTAAACGAGAGCCTCGAATGAACACGTGTATTGGTATAGGTGGATATTACGTTCAAGGTTTCAATTTATACATTTCAAATCCTATAACATATTATAAAATGTATACATATCATGTTTATGTACATTTACTATCCATCAGGTTTTTTCTGTACATTTCAGACCTCTGTAAAAAGAATTTTAATTTAAAAAAATATTGTTTGGAAATATAGAATTATTCATATCCAACTAATCTTGATAACAAACTCATATCTTCTACCTTTAATATATGTAGTTTTGCAACAAAATGCTATTCCACTAGGCTTTATAATATAGTGTAAAATGTTTTATGTACAAATTTATTCTCAAAGTTCTTACTGTAATTACGGGGTCACACGTGTACAGTTGTACCACTTGTCAATGTAGAACGGACTAGGATTATAATTTTAGACATGTATCAATTTTAGTGTCCCGAAATTGGCGCCATTGATTAACATAGATAACTTTGTACGTTTCATCTGCTAAATAGCGGTAACTTGTACATAGTGTAATTTTTAACTAGGTACATTTTATCATTTTCATAGTTACGTAGCGATGGAAATCATGAAAAAAAAAAATAAAATAAAATTTATTTCATGTTGTTCTAGTTATTGCAATTATCGTTAAAAAAAATAATTCGACTAGTATTTCGATTGATTTGTTCGTGAACACAAACAGTATTTTTGTACTGTACATGTTTCCGGAAAAAAAAATGCGTCTCTGTGCCACGTGGTCCTTGTCTTATCAAGCAATAACACTAAAGTCTGGTAGAGAACAGCGGTATATTACCGTACACGCTATCAAATATTATCGTAACCGTTATTTTATGTGAGGGTATTTACCGTGAGATTAACGTCTGGTGAGCGACCTCATGAACGAGACTATGTACTCGTTACAACAATAAAGTAACTCCGAAGGCCCGTAACTGTTTTGCACCTGCTAAAATGTAATGGAAGTACGCCAATGTTCAAAGTTATGTGTCTCATATACGTAATGTGTGCACGGCACACAACGGCGATTGGCGTAAATAATGTTCTATCGGGTTCTTTGTTCGCGCGTGTACAAACGTCAACTTTGTAGAAATCGTTCACATGAAACGATTGTACGTGACTTTGATCTGCTACGAACCCTCGCATGTCCAGTATAAATAAATGTACAAGTGTACATTTAGAAGGTAAAAAATTGGACATATTTTAGATACGTAATGACGGTAACATTTTCACCGTTTTACGAAAATGATAAATTGGAAAAGAAAAAGTCTTACGCATATTTTATTACATCGGTCCCGATGACTTCTTACTGTTACCCTATATATAATACTTGTAAACAAAAAATTTTAGAGTAACACAATATTTTTATAACTGCTAAAAGTTCATTTTGGTTTTCAATTTTTTCAGAATTTATGATTATTTTTGGTTCTTTTATAATTGTATCCCTTACCATAACAAAATATTACGATTTATGGATGATCAAAATAAATTTGAGGTATGATTATCCTTACATTAAACAATTAAAAAAATTACCAATCAT